ATATATATATATATATATATATATATATATATATATATGTTATGATTAAAAAACAATACATGCATGATTATGTTGATGAACTCTCACACGAGCATCGTATCAATAATTTCTTTTAATATTAATATTTATGTCAAAAAATATTTTAAATTTAAAATTATATTATTTTAGATGATATTATCTTTTAAGAAGGTAAAGTTAGGCTGATCTATTCACTCGAATATAATCATTAACACTAGGCTATATTAATATATCACTAGTTTAAATGTAATTAATATGATTAAGCGATGGATAAAATAAGTTTGATTCAAAAACTCACAAGTATTATTTAATGAGTTCTACATGATGATATTTCTAAGAAAAAAACTTTATATAATATCATTCATGGACTTTTATTTGTCAAGTCTAATAGACTTTTCATTATTTTCGATAGCTTATATACTATCTCGTAGCCACTAACTATATCCTATGTCGAGAGTAATCATCATATTTAATTCATAGATAAAACATAGGGAAGATGGAAAAGATTTCTCAAGTGTTCCTCGTAGATCATTGCTTGATGGATCCATTCTTAACGTGCATTTGAGTGAATAAGAAGCTGTGAAATTGAGTATTTGATAAATAATAGTTAAATATTGTATTTTAAATGTACATTGACGTAAATGTTGCTTAATAAAATTATATTTTAAAAATCTATTAAATATTATATGATAAATTTATCATTTTAATATTTTTAATATGTATTCAGAAGTAAGTATATATTTTTTAATAAGTAAATAAATAAATGAATGTATAAAAGTTTATAAAATATTTTATGGCTTAGATATATAATAAATAAAAATATAATCATACATTATTTTTTTAAAAAATAAAATAAATAAAATTTTATAGAAAATATAAATTATCCTAGTTTCTCACTAAATCATGTCAAATGTAACCAAAGAAATGGCATCTATCTATGATGAAGACCAATGCATAAATAAGGAAATAATTATAATCCCTTTTTACATCCAAAATATCATACTTCGATGCAAAATATCATTGCCGACATCATTCCTTCTTTTCAATTATAGATAAGAATACATATGACATTATCAAATGGAATTACAGTAAATCTCACAGTTCCCTTTGTAGATTGTGATGCACCCACACACACAGTCTACTGTTCATGAGATGACAAGCTTGTCGTTTTAGTCGTACAAAACCGATAGTGAAACGCAGTAAACTTAATCTTTTGGAGGTTTTGTACTTCAGTGATGTGAGGACAGTTTGCTTGTCGATCATTCACTTCATGACATGCTTCTCCAAATACATATCACTATCAACTTCTATCTAAATTAACAGTATGGGAACACTACTAGTCTCGTGTAAGATCAAAGTTGACTGCAAAGTGAAAAGAATCGGATGATATATACTTCGAGTTGTTAAGTTGAATTTAGCACTCAATCTCGTGTATATTTATTGCTTACAAAGGATGAAAAAGATGTTTTCTTTTCAGATCTATCGAAAGGTAATAAGCGACGAAGACTGATTGGGAAGTGTGTCGGAGGATCGGATCGAGTCGAAGCTGCCCTCATTGATGAAGAAAACTATGCATCTTGTAGCGATCGCTGTCTCCTTACTCGCATTAAAACCAGCTGTTCTTGCACCAGCTCGTGGGTTGTATTTGGACGAGATCAAGCGAGAAAGCTGCTGTCATGCTCGTAAGAGAAAGAGAAGTAAAGGTGCTTCAGCGATGAACACCTACTTTTTCTTTAAGTGCGATGTGGAGTTAGCAATTCGTTCTGTGAACTCCACTCGTTTGCTTCTTTTCTCGACTCCGACATGAGCTCCACACTGGTACTTGTCGATCGGATAAGTAGGACCCACGCCGTACCAACTTTTAATCATATCTCTCATATTTCATTTTCTATTCTTACAAAATAAATAAATTCTAATCAAAATTTTGATGATAAATAAATAAATAAATAAAATTTTATTATTCGTTGAGACTAAATATTTCTATTAAATTAATATTTTAAGAATATATAAAATTAAGATAACAGTTTGTTTTCATTAACAATTATATATGCTCGGAATAACTCCTTATTTCATGAATATTTGGGTAGGCCTAATTGGGTCGGGGTGAGACCACCGGCCCAAAATTAAAACATGGGTTGGATCAATCAAACCGGGTCCAGCAAGTAACCATGTCCGTGTGTGGTAGGCGAGTGAACACGAACGGTTTTGGCTTTGGAGCCGAACCCCCTCGACGGTCTCGGGTTTGAAGGAATCTGGAGAGCTCGCGGGTGGCCTCAGGCATCGGACGGTGGGAGCGCGTGGGGTGCGGTGGCCCCGCCCCCGAGCGGCCGTGCGTCTCGTCTTCCCCCCCACCGCCTCTCCATCGACCACTAATACTCGGGCTAACAGAGTGGTTGGGGCTATGCGATTCGCTCCTCCTCCATTTCAGGCCTCCAACTCTTGCACCGCCATGTCTTCGCCCTCCCGCTTCAAGGTGACGATCGATCGATTGACCCATCGGTTAATCGATCCATCGATCTTCGTCGCCATTTGAAGGTAGCCCGCCTTGCTCGACCATTCTTGACTCCCTTTTATGTCGGCTTTCACAGGTTCCGTCGCGTAACCACTGCCACCGTGGGTTCCGCGACCCGCCGCCTCCGCCTGCAGACGCCACCGGCGCTGCCATGGAAGGTGGTGCTGCCCCCTCGTCCGTTAGCGGCGGTTCGCACTTCAGGGCTGTTAGAGACGCCAACTACGATTGGACGCGGTCGCAGAAGGGCGGCGCCGCTTGGTACCCTCGTGGTGCTCCGCACCAATCGTTCGGTCGGTGGCGGCCGCCGTCTTTTGGCCCACTTCCGCCTCCTCGGCCTTCTTACGGCCTTCCTCCGCCTTACTATGGCCCTCCCCCTCCCCCGGCTTACGCCCCTGCTCTTCCACCTTATGGCCATCCTCCGCCTTCTCACGACTCTCCTCCGTCGCCGTTTCTGCCTCCTCGATCTTCCTACTCTCCTTCCACCTTTCGCCCACAGGCATTCCGCCCATCTCCGCCGCCTAGGCCAGCAGATTACCGGACTTGGAGCTTCTGTCTCTCACAACCACCTCCTCAATGTGGTAATCTTTTGTCTTCTTACTTTTTCTCATGGTTGTGAAGATAATTTCACTTCTTCTTGTCCTCTGATCTTCAAAATAAAAATAAGTTTATAATTGATGAAGCTCTTAGGTATCTTATGCTTGGAAGCAATATACAAGTTCATTGCTACTCAAAAGAGTCGACCCAGAAAGCAACTGGATCGGTGATGCAAGAAGCGGTGTCCTTGGGGATTTGTATATTGTTTTGCAATCTAATTTACTGATCTGATGCAACAAAATGTTCAAAGTTACAATCAATGACCGATTAAAGCTTTTGAAATGAAGTATTGAAAGGACAGAAAGGAAGAACAAGCAATAAGCATGAATACTACACACATACGAAGAAATAGGGGTTATCATATGGGCAACTCTTTGACAGCTTCATATTCCGTCCTGAGATTGTTTTATTGAGAAATGACCAATGTATATGTAGATTTGTGCTTGTGGATGTGTAAATATACGTATATACTAACAAAGTCACTCAGTTTATGGTAGGAACTTGGTCTTCAACATGATCTTGATAATAAAAGGAAAAAAAAAACATGATCTTGCAAAAGGATGATCTCCTCTCTTAAATCCCTAATCTTTAACGAGCTATCATGCTAGTCACCTCTGCTTAAATAAGGGAAAAGAAAATCTTGAGAATGGAACTTAATTAACCACAAAATGCCTTGTATCATATATTGTTTCCTCAATAGAGAGAGTTTTTGCCAAATGTACCATATGAGAATGGAACTTGATTAACCTTAAAAATGACCTAAGTCATGTGTCAGTGTCTCACTAGGAACCAAGTTTCCACCAAAATAGTACATTTTGGCCGAAACCTAAATCTATGCTTTTAAGGATATCATAGTTCCATTTATGTATTAAAAACCCTTGCTCCAATATATTGTTGGGTAATGGAAGAACAATGTAGGTAATGGAAGAACAATGTTTACTGCATCCACAAACATGCATACACACATATTGGAATTTAAATTTTGACTTCAAAGTTCTTGTTATATCTATATTTTATGTCATTGACTTGTGTGCTTGACTGTAGGACATGATTCATGTATAATTGATCAAAATGGTTCATTTCCTTACAACCTGTTGTATTATTTCCAGAGCGGTTTGTAATGCTCTCTTATAATATCCTTGCGGACTACCTTGCTAGAGATCATAGATCCAAGCTTTATTTTCACATACCACAATACATCTTGGATTGGGAATGGCGAAAGAGAAAGTTACTTCTAGAGTTTCGACTTTGGGCTCCTGATATAATGTGCCTTCAGGTAATCCTTTCAGCAATCATCGCAACCTAGTTCTGGGAGGTTCTTCGTGTTGTAGCCCTTTATTTGTTATCTTATATATGCTTATAAACATGGGTAGTTGGCTTGATTATTTTCCTGTTTCTACTGGACTACACAAGGTAGCATCATGACCTCTTTCTTGATTTGCAGTTTAACCAAAAAAGGTTTGGTATTGTTAATGCAAAAGTACTCCATTTGTTGCTTCTCTTTGGTAACTGAAAGTATGAAGGTCTGCAATCTTGTATGCTGGTGTATCAGTCTGGGCTTGGACTAGTACTATACTGGTGTACCATGCTGCATTTCAGAAAATCCTGAAAAAGGATTTTAAAGAGGGAACTGCCTGGCATATCACCCGATTTATCATGATCGACATACCGATAATGTTCAATCGGTCTTATTTTTTCATATTACATTATCATGAATCACAGTTGATATTTAATGGATGTATAGTGGTAATTTGATCACTTGAAATTCTTGCAGAATTCTACTTAAAAGGATTGTATTGATTGTAAGTTCTTCAGAATACCTGCTTAGCTTCTTAACCTGATATTGGCTATCAATTTTCATTCATCTATTTGATTCTTTTGAACACCTGGATATCCTAAGTAGGATACACTAAAAGTATTCATTCTTGATAAGGCATGGTCATCACGCTTATTGGTTTCTCTGCTACTACATTTTTTACAAGTAGCACATCTATATGCTCTAATGTTTATATTAAAATCTCTTGATGCCTCTTTTAGGAAGTTGACAGATTTTATGATCTGGAAAAAGAATTGGCAACTCAAGGATATGCTGGTATTTGGAAGGTTGTTACCATGGCCTTTGATAATCTTTTTGATTACTTATTGCCTTTGTATCATATTCTTGAAATAATTGATTATGCTAACAAGCGACTTGTTTAATGTTTCTACATCCTCACTAGTATGATATACAACATTGTACTAAGGTGATGTAAGCAACCTAAAGGGTGATAGTGCTTAGAGGAGAAGGAAGAGAGATTATGAACAGAGAAAGGAAAAAAGATAAAATGGAAAAGGGTCATTTTGATATGTAATTAGCTGGTTTTACCAAGCTGTGCATCCTCACAGGGTCCTCTAAGAACTTGCAAAAGAGAAAATTGGTCAGAAAGAATGTGAATGTGCATATAAACTGCTATCGTCGCTCTGTAGAAATGTAAACTTGGGATCTCACAAGCATATATTTAAATAAACACTTGATAGGAACTGCAAAATACAAATAAGAACGTCACAAATGGTCACGTGACAAAGGGTCCAAGACTTTGTGGCACACACAGAAGTCCCCACCCTTTAAGTGTCTCTACGACATCGCTGGAACCATACGATGAATCAACTCAGGACACTATGTTTTTGGGTTGCTCTTTGTCCCAAAATACATGCATACTAGATGCTTTGTCTTTGGGCAGTTTGGTCTCTGCGCGATGACCGCACACAAGCTGTGCTGATAAACCAGGAAGGACCACAAAACCCAACCAAAATGGGACTATGAAGCCTTGAAAGAACCAAAGAGCACGGATATTACATCACACACCTCTATGAACAATTGTCCTTGGAGAGAGAAGAAGACGTTGATGTCCTTCTTGGCTATTACTTAATTGTGAAGTTGATCCACTTGTTTTTGGTGCCTAATAGCTTCAATAACTTGAAAATATCAATAGTCTAAGCCTCTAAGGTTTGGTAGATCTTGTATGGGATATTGAGAAATGGAATTGAGACTTCAGAGATGATGTATGTTAGAACTTAAATGGAAGGAAATCGAGAAATAGAAGAGAGGAAGATAAAAAATTGAATAACTTTTTGACTCACTCGGAAGCCACTTTGGGGGTTGGGGGTAGATTATGGCTTCACATCACACACATGTATGAAACTTTTCACCTTTTTTATTGATTGATTGATGTCCCGAAGACAATATGCTTTTTCTTTTTATAGACTTCCCTAGTAGAAGGAGAATATAAAATAATATGAATTAAGAAAAATATAATTACTTCAAATAATCTCAAATCTCAGTCACTCATTTTTTCCTTCTTCAGGAAAGAAACAATTTCAGATTTCCTATGACAAATAATCTTTATTTTTATTCTAGTTTTGATTGACATGCTTCCATATCTGTAGTGAACTTCCTTCTAGGAATAATTTGTAATTCAGTATAAATGTTACTTTGATTTATTTTGACTTACTGGTGCCTTTTCTTCTTCTTAAGCAATCTATGATGCTAAACTAGATATGAATTTTTTTTATAAAAGTCCCTCTTAAAAAGTAAAATTAACTAAAAAAGCACTAAATTGAAAATATGTTCAATTGTTCATAACCAATTTGAAGGGAATATAGTTAACTTTTATTCTTTTGGTGCTTTGTGTAGGCTCGAAAGGTGTTTCGATTACCATCATACGGCTTGACAAAGACTTTTGATTTACATCTTTATTCTCTTGTTACCTGGTGCTTGTTATAGATTATTTTCATGGAATATTGTCGATGCATATGATTGCAACAATAACTTCAGTCATCTCAATCGTTGACAATTTTCAGTTTGTGTCTAGTAATGGACATGCATTTGGTGGTTTAAAATATTTGGAATACACTATTCAACTCAAATAGATTGCTGCAATAGTTGGATGTATGGAATATGCCTCGAGATTTAAAATGTCAGGTACTATCTTAGTCATGGCTGGCATTCGGCAAGTCCCAACAAGGCAACAAGTTCTAGCTGATCCTTCAATTAGTTGGATATTTGAACATGATCTCATTAATTAAATCTACAATAGTTTTTAAAAAAGGAAGAGGTCTTGGAATAGGGAGCCTCAAAGATCCCTTCAGTTAATTTTAGGAGGTGATTCCATGTACAAAAGTGTTACACTTTGTAATTTAATACAAGGATTGAAATATCGTACCATACCGGAGTTTCGATATTCGCTCGGTACGGTACGGTACTGTATACCGAGTGGTATACTGTTTGGTATATATATATACACCGGCCGGTAATGAGCAGTCCATGTATCGGTGTGTTGATGGACCGGTACGTACTGCCAGTATCGGACGGTATTATTCGAAATTGAAGACCTTGATTTAATATATAATTAATGTAAGAATAAATTATGCACTCCAATAAAGTTCCCGAGATGTCTTAAAGTGCATACTAGTTTGTTTATTATAGTAGCAGTTTCCTCATGTATATATTAGCACATAATCATTTGCATGCCATGACAAAATAAAGTGACTTTGTGAATGTGGCTTCTAGCAGTTTTAATGATATTTGATCGGTTATCCAGATGCGTACTGGAGATGCAGTTGATGGTTGTGCAATATTTTGGAGAACAAACAGGTAAGGTTGAGTTAAGGTCGAATCTTAGCATATACCATAAACTAAAAGTTATTATAGAAGTAGGATTCTATAGGGGAGCTGCTAAATTAAGATTAACATATTAATTATTTTTTAAAAAATATTTTGATGTATAATCTTATGCCTTGCCCAGGATATACTGCTCAAATAAGGACACTTAGTTCTTTCAACCATCTATGCATTGTTTATGATTGTTATGGTTGAAAAAAAGGATTTTTCCTGATATGTTAATTTTCTAAGCTGAGTAGCGAAACATTTTTGTAACCATCTTCTATTTTGTTCAAATTTTAAATATTTTATTTGGTGTTTTGGATCATAGATTGTTTACATGTTGGCATCTTAACTATCTATTTTTCTAAACAGATTTCAGTTGAAATATGTTGAGACCATTGAGTTCAAAAAACTTGGTCTTCGGGATAATGTTGCTCAGATTTGTGTACTGGAAGTAAGTCCTGTTAGTTGATTTAAGTTCTATGTTTATATGTTTTCATCTTCATTTTGATTTTCAGTGGATGGCAATGTTGCACACTGTCAAAATATAAAAACATTTTTTTTGTTGGCCAGTCAACGATCCAAAGCTCTGTAAAAAACGAGTCTGCATCTTTACTGAAAAGGTACTTTGTTAAGTTCTGTGTACTTAGCCTTGTATTGTACATAATTTTCTACTGTACACTTACAAACTTACATTTTTCCATCATTGAAATTTAGATTGAACAATGGCAGGAGCTGCATATTTGTTTTTTTTGTTTTTTGTTTTTGGGTTTTCTAATTTTACCAATGTCTCTGCATGCGGCTTTATAATGTTCAACTTCATCTTCAAATATATAGTTTTGCAACCATACAATGTATTCTGCATACTTGTAATTTTCTGACTTTCACAATAGTGTGTTCCAGACTCACCTTGATGTACTTTTTGTAATGCTTCTTGTTTTCACCTTTCATGTTTCTTCATTTAGTTGCTAGGTGGTATAACTACCAATAGAACCTTGTCTGTGTTTCTGATTGCCTATGCAGCTCTGATCAGTTGAGACAAGCTAACCAAGTGGTTGTATGTAACATCCATGTCCTTTACAACCCTAAGAGAGGAGAGATTAAGCTTGGTCAGGTATGTCCTTTATCCTTGTTTGTCCCTGTAATTTATGCTTAAACATCTTTTGATGATTGATTGGCTGATGCAGCTAAGTGATATGGTATTGATTATATCCCGGTAAGAACCAACTTATACTCAAGCAGCTTAGGTTTGTCCTTATATGATTAAAAGATGCCCTAAAATCTTTAAGTTTTGCACTGAATTTTCTAAGGATCCTTAATTTTGATTTGATAGGTCTCCTATTTAATTTACAAGGATTCTTAATGATTTCAAAGCAAATTTTCTTTGAAATTTTATGTATTTGCTACCATGAGTACCTCATTGGTTTGCTTCAAACATGGGCAGACAGCAAAAAAGTTGAATATGGAAATACATGTTTTTAGCAAAATCTTATGTGAACAACATTTTAGAATTTAGATGTCCATCATATTTGCCATATTGCTCAGTATCTAACATGGTCGATGCATGTTGCTGATTAAGATTTGCAGTCTAGGATGTATTGATGACCTGCTGACTTGAATTGGTGTGGGGTCTCTGCCATCTGATATAGTTAATGAGTCATTGTAGAGAATCATTAGCACTAAATCTCATGCCAATAATGTACCATCATGCACCCATTTTTAAACTTATGATTATTGGTTTATGGTTGTCATGCCAATATATGCAATTTGATGTTGTTGATGTAGAAAATTAGAGAATAAAAAGAACCTGAAGGAAAAGTTTTTATAGTGTAAAAACATAAAAACAACAAATTGGATAGTAGTAGAGACAGACACTTGGTTTTTCCAGTCAATGCAAGGTGGTGCGACAATTAGTGTCCAATATGAGGTAGAGTACCTCATGCAAAGAAAGTGGCAATGAAGCCATTCGAACCTATTCAGAATTACAATCTCTTGGTTCATTCACATCCGGCTTGATTCTATCAGCTAGTTTGCACAAAATTAAGTTGCAGTTCAGCCATGTCCAATTCAATTTAGTAAGGCAAAGCACTTATTGCCAACCAATGCGTCTTCACTACACTGGCTTTTAATGTTTTCCAATCCCCACTAATTGGAATATGACATCCGATATGGGCAGTACCACAAAAAATTGTAAACCATGCTTTTGAATGTGGAGTAAGAGATGATGCAGCATGTGCATTTTTAAGTGAGTGAGCCAGCAAATGAAGGCATAGTAGAATAGATGGTTGAATACCAAAATTTATTATCTTTCTATAGCTAAAAGAAATATAGTAAGCAAGAATGAGATCTCCAAGAAAATATTGCATAGAAGTATCAAGTTGGCTAAAGTAGAAAACATATTTGATGAGTTGTATGACTTTGACTCCCATGGATTACTTTGGACTAAAGATATATGGTGTAAAGACTCTTGTAAGACTAGCCTGCCTTGGGTGTTTGGCAGCTTGAGAACAACATGTGCAAAATGTTAATGAAGCATATATAACCATGTTAAGATAGATGAGTGGTAAAGGAAGGATACAACAAGAAGTGACCATGATTTTTTTCATGGTAAGTCAAATGGTAGCTATCATTATATGAGAGAATTGCTTTTGGTGAATCAGATTTATGCCAAGGAATACTATTGAATATACCAGTAAGGAGAGGTGTATAAATTAAATTATATGTGCCTTGAAGAGCAATAGAATGCTTGGTAAGAAATCCTCATACTGCGATCATAGCACTATTAGAGCATGTCGCCCACATATCTTATCCTTAACTTTTCCAATTAAAGATATACTTATTCTTTGTTTATGCAAGCAAGTAAATATCTATACCTAGGAGATGAAACCTTTTAACAAAAATGACTCAAATTTTTTCCTTTAAATAGGACAAATAATTGGAACTGCAACAAACATTGCCGATTAGGCACATCAGAAACAGCTAGGTCATGCTGATTAGGAGTATGCTATGTTGTGGATATGCAAAATTTGCTGCAATCCTATATTTCCTTAAAAAGGATTTTATCTTTTCTAGTAGACACATGCATGTTGCAGAATAATTTGTATAACATCTTGAGAAAGATGGGGACTAACACGTGCTTGAATAACTATCAATGTTGAATGGTCTGGGTTGTGGTTCTGGTGTGGCTTTTTCACCACGGACCAGGATTAGTCGGGTTGTTATTTTGGGTTATGTGATATAATTTTTCTTTTCGATCTTGCTAAGCAGTTAGCTATGCTTTAACTGGTAATACAACAGTGGTAATATAAGGCTTGAAAGACGTAAAGTCATTGTTCTTTTCTTTTTTCCTGAGTTCTTCTATGGACCGTAGAGTAGGAATGTCTGTGGATTTATTTGTTTGTTTGTATACAACCGAGTGATTTGATGAAATTAGATCACCAATTTCGGTGGTTTGGATCATGTATGACTGTGATGCAGGACATAAAAAGTATCATATATCTGGACATGGAATCTGGACTGTGGATTGGGTAGAGGGTTTCCTACTAATGAATGGACTTGATCTATTAAGATTCTTTTTTCAGATAATCACTGAACTCCTTTTTGATCAATGGTTTGATTAAGTTCACTCAAACAAAGGCCTTTGCTTGTGGCACTTTGTGGTTCTATAATTGAATGTAAATTATAAGATGGCAGTTGGCAGTACCAGCATAATAGCATTAGCCTTTTTCCTTCTCAAAGACCTATGGTGGGATTCCTCTCTGCTTTGGTCTAAAATGGTTCAGTCTCTGTTCAATGATAGAACACAAGATTCTCATATATTGTGCTTGCTAATTACAGCTTGTCAACAGGTAAGGACGCTTCTTCATCGAGCTTATGCTGTTTCTAAAATCTGGAATGATGCCCCAGTTATAGTTTGTGGAGATTTTAATTCTACACCTAAGGTTTGTTGTTTTATTGTCTTTGTTGCTAGCATCCTTTAGCTCGAAGTGCTAATACTTTGGTCCAAATGGTTGTAACGCCACCGTAATATCACAGTTAAAACACGGCCTCCCATAAGTTAAATGTAAATTCACTTCCCCATCTTTCCTGTTTTGTCTCTTTTCCATACTGATGCCTTTTTTTCTCAGAGTCCACTTTACAATTTTATAGCTGAGCAGAAGGTAATTCTTTATCATTAATATATTCTAGCAGCTGTAGAGTTTCTTGTTCTGAGTGATCATTAGCTTTTCAATTGTTCAAATTTGCAGTTGACCCTTTCTGGACTTGCTCGGGATCAGATATCAGGACAATATTCTGCATGCATTTCTTCTTCAAGGCCATATTACGGCCCTGGTACATCTAGGTAAATGGTATCCTGTTAAACATGTGTTTATCTTGTTTAATGACTCAAAATGCTTATATTCTTGTTTCAGGACTCAGCCCCACATGAGTGGAGGTACTGAGGTTAATTGCAAACCTCAAAATAAGGAAGAAAATCAATATGTAACAAAAGAAGCTCCTGTCCGTGAAGCAACAAGCAATGGTCTGCTAGATATACCTCAAATTTTCTCTGAGAGTCGGTTGCTGGATAAGACATGCACAGTACCTGATGTGGCCACAAATAAAATAGGTGGTGAGAGTTTCTGCAGCGAGTCCTGTTCTGCTGATGATAGTAATTTACAGGTATCTAACAATACTTGTAGAAGTTGTATCCAGCCAATCACGGACCAGGGAACTGCCTTAGAAATTTCTAGCATTGATCAGTGCTCTGCTGGGGTTCACTCTGATATGAGTAGGTCAACGATAGAATTTTCAGGGTCAAAGCAAAATATGTTTGATGAGTCCAATGATGATTATGAGTCTCCATCATTTCAAACTATAAAAGCATCTGACATTGTTGCTGATTCAGCAGCTCAAGCATCTGAAACTTCGGCTGGTACGGCCTGTCAAGATGTTTTAGTTGATAATGTAGTACAAAAGGAGAACTGCAGCTATATTGGGGCTCCATCATCTAAGGAGTACTCAGGTTCCAGTTCCACTACATGTTTAGACATTTCCTATTATCACAATGAATCTAAACAGTCGGTTAATGATGTGGCCAGCCTGTCAGCAGAGTTTGATTCTACAGTGAATCTGTTTAATAATTGTTTGGAAAATCACAATTCTGTAGGTGAAGTTGAAAATATATGCAAAGATATCTCCTGTTCAGAAGAGAATTCTGACCCAGATTTCTTTAGAGAACTTTTAGGAACTGATGATGTACGTCATTTTGGTGATGATCCTGTAACTTCAGGCCAAAATCATTCATTCGATTCAAGCCATAGTTCAGAGTTGGATCCTCTAAGTGTGGGGGTTCGGGAAGAATCTCTCCGTGGTGCATTTTCATTAGATGATGGTTTTGAAAGGCGTTCATATGATCCATATTTGTGGACTCCAATGGAAATTGAGGTTGCATCAGGAAGTGCAGAGTGTAATTTTCTTGAACATAGTTTGAAACTAAGGAGCGTATACACAGATGTGGAGGTAAATGGTTTCTTATTTTGCTTTGGGGTTTTGTGTCTTTTACTTAATTTTTTATGATTTCTTAAGACATTTCTTTGTGTTGCTTGGTTGAGTTAAAATCTTGTTACTCATCCAACATAAATTGCTTGATTGGTTTACATGTTGGTTATTACTTGGAAGTTATGCTATCAAAAGAATCTACAACTTACCTCATCTTATTAGTTATTTTTCAGTGTGATCTTATGAATACCGTCAATCTTTTGTTGCTTTAATGTTGTTTACCTCATTCCTGATATCAGTTAAACGGTTATTGTGCTTGCTGGTTCTATTCGGTAACAATGTAAGTTTGCACTATTTGTCTGTTCTGGAATGGATTAAGAGTTCACAATGGTGACCCAGTAGGTACGAATGCCAAAGGGAGGCTTGTTTGGTCTGGTTGGTAAGTGTTCATTTTTTTCAAACTAAAGCACAAAATCTTTGGTTGGAGGAACTGTTTCTTAAGAATGCTATATAGCTAGGATAAGCATTTTGGTGTCTGTAGAAATAATTTAATATATTTTCCCTCCCAATAAATCTTTATGAAGAGTCAAATTAGTAATACTAGATTATGCCAATCTTTTTCGCTTCAAGTTCCTTTAGTTGTGGAACCATTTAAAGATCATGCAATGAGATTAACTCATCAAGTGTCTCTTTCCATGTGTTACCTCTACTTGGTGGTGGGTCTGTTTTTGAAGATTCTGATATTAGTGAAATAAAAATAATGGTGATAGTTGATGCCTACTTTTTCCGTGACCATTATGGTCTTTGACTTATTCAGAGTTTCAAAGTTGCAAACAATTGAGACCAAAAAATCTCTCCTTATATATTCCTTAAATCTGCATTCCATTTTCTTTAATCTGAAACTACAAGGATCAGGTTTTTTTTCTCTCAGATTTGAACAACCAGATTTTAGTGTGTTAATTGAATTTTTTTTATTTTCTTAAGCAGTTTTACCAAAGAATGGCATACAAGGATTTCTTAGAATATTCTTAAACTCAATCAACTTGGATGCAGTTTTAAATTGCAGCATAATAACTCTGAGATTATTGAATCAACTACGATTTTCAAGATGGGTTGAAAATATGGATGCGGTGTTATAAGACAGGATTAGTAAACAGTATATGAAAACATGACTGAGAAAAAAAAGAACATGCATGTTTAGGTTTTTACATCTGGAGCGGTGGAAATTCTTGCAGAATGGAGGTATTGACTCCATGTCATGAAGGTAAAATGAAAGATCTAAACTGATACCCAGTTTTAAGCATCTCATCAGATTGCTATCTCTGTTGTCTTGCACAGCAAAGGCCTTGTTTTCTAATCAAGTAACCACTAGAAAATTCAAATGATATGCCACTGAGAACTTGTCCTTGAAATCCCCACAAGAAACTGCAGCAAACTCAAACTGAAGAAAGATCTTATTGATGTTTCGGTAGAATTTCTCAAACTAAAGAAGATATCATTATTATTCTTTGTTATCATATGTTCACCACATTTTTGCAGGCCATGCAGATATATATTACTTGCTGTATCTTCTGCTAGATTCTTCTGACATTGTTCTTTTTGCTTTTTTTCTTTTGGTAGTGGAAGGCAGATGATCCTTTCATTTCATTTAAACCCAGATGTTTTAACAGCTTTCTTTAGCTTTCGTTGTGTGAAAAATTTTATTTCTAGAAAGTTGTATATTCTGACAACGTAGGATGATATAATTACCTCTACTCCTGCACATTAATTTCTTCATCAGAACCATATGATAAAAGTTTGTGAAGAATTTTATTTCTAGAAAGTTGTATATTCTGACAGCATAGGATGATATAATTACCTCTACTTCTGTACATCTATTTCTTCATCAGAACCATATGAAAAAAGTTTACTTTGTTGGTATACTTTGTTCAAGATTCAGACATGCTGGAGGCAAATTGTTACTTTTTGTTCTTTCTTCTCGACAGGATTATGTGGGGACAAAGGACTCTAGCAGAGAACCCCTAGTTACCAGTTACAACCGGCGATTTATGGGCACTGTTGACTATATATGGTTATTATCTTTATCTCATCATCTCATAATTATTCATGTACAGTGGTAAAACGTATTTATGTTTCTGACTTGATTCTCGTTCCTTATCATTTGAGAATTTAAAGTGGTGGTTCTCTAAGCTTTTGGTGTGGTTTGCACTTATGTGCTATGTGCAGATTGTAGTTTTTGATGCAAACAATATCAGTTGAACACAAAAAAGTACTGACCAGAGTTTATATATTTCAGTCCAGAATGCGTATGTATAAAAATAGCCTCTATGATTGGTCCTGTTTGCCAATCTTTGTTGGAGCTTCTGGAAACACATTCTCCTGCCATTAATTCCTCCTCGTGTTTCATTTGCACATAGGATATCCCTTGTTATATGGTGGAACTCAAGCTTATCGAATAAGGTTAGGGACCATCCCTTGCACAACCTAGTTACTGACATCTATGTCCAAAGACTCGCCTACCTGACTTTGGACACACCGACCATGACCGAAGCAAGATCTGACCTTAAGATGCAAATATGGGTTTGAAAGCAGGCTGACTTGAGTTGGACTGTTGTGATACGTTTTCACATTAGCAGAGCCCAGTAGATTCATTTTAGCTCTCTTCATTTCTTTCTCATTGAGACGTTTCTTGTCTGATTGAACTAATCATTATTTACTTTATCTTGCTTATTGTTACTACATGCTGTTTGTAAGGCTGATTCTTTAGATAGTGTTCTAACAGAATGGTCTTGCTGGCATGGCAGAGGTACTAGGTTTATGTATATGCTGTGACGTGTTGATTTGTAGAAGATTGTTGTTGTTTTGTGTACTCTTCTCATCATGACTTTTTTAATGGCTTTTTATCTGATGAGCAAAGAATATTTAAACACTTTGTTCATTCTCTATCATGTTTTGAAAAAGAAACTGTAACACAATGGATGTACAGGTCTTCTGAAGGTCTTCAGACCGCCAGAGTGCTGGAAACATTCCCTAAACATGTTCTGCAGCAGACTTCCGGTTTTCCAACCAGGGTAATTGTAGTTTGACTATGTTTCATTGCCAAACCCTATGGTATGACTCCGATCAACTGAGAACCGAACTGACTAGTCTTGTTAAACTTCTCTCCAGAGATGGGGAAGCGATCATGTTGCCTTGGCCTGTGAACTGGCATTTACAAATGGCTCCTCGACTAAATAGAGGTTTGAACTCGAGAGGCTCGATGCCCGTCACATCTTTTGCATTGACGCTTTTTTTTTGTCAGAAATTGAGATGCTGTTTTCATTTTGTTGTTGCTGCTGCTGTCGTTGTATTGTTTAGCTCCAGCATCACATTTCCTGAGAACAGCAAATCTTTTATCAAAAGTGTTCATTTTGGGCAGTGTTCTGACAAGTGCTGCTGAGCGTAGGGCAATCATACGCTGCTTGCTCTCCAGCAGATTGCTCCATGGCGATTCCTGAGTTGACCCAGTATGGTCAAATGCCAAATCTTCTGGTGACGCGGCCTCCAGCATTAAAGCCCTACCCTCCCATCTTTGCTTCAATGAAATTTATTGATCCAGACAACTCTGCTGCTAAAAAGAGCTTGTGCATGTTTCAGGTGATTATAAGAATGGTCTGGCGTTCCAGGAAAATGTTGGTAACAACTCCTGCTTGTTCTTCGGAAACACATAATTATTTATTACCAATGTCATCCAATCTTCTTCTCCTCTCTTCATTCTGTAGATTTATGTTAATTTTGCGAAATTATTTTTCACTGCAGTGTATCAGTTGCAGTAATATCTTATCATATGTCATAAAAAGCTAATTTCGTGACGGTATTACTGCCCTTTGGTCTGTGGTATGCTTACTATTTCTAGACCCTGTACCCGTATGAGCATTTTCAACGTAGCTTCTAGCATTGACGCCTATCTGGCACCCAAATAGAAGTCAGCGATGAGCCTTTGACTCCAAATACTCCCAATCCATCTCATTTGATGCCCCCCTCTTAAACACGGGCGTCATAAGCGTGGTAGGTTGCTTGGTCGTCCGTCCTATTTGACTCTGTCTTTTCCGCCTTTCCAATATATAGACCAAATCTATAAACATCTATCAAATGCATCACTTCTTTCGTATCAATCAAACTGATATTACTCATTTTGATTGATACGAAAGAAGTGATGCATTTGATAGATGTTTATAGATTTGGTCTATATATTGATTAATGTTGTACAAAACCTGGCAACTTAGCATCTCAAACTCCGTTCACACGCCAAAAAGTATTAACGGAACGAGTCTCTCATCATTAATTGAGCCAACTTATCATATCAGAACGTGATCCACCAATTCTGCATGACTGTTCCGCTGTAGCTGAATTGACTACAGGGAAACTTAACCACACGTCACGGACGTCGTCATCTTCGTTGCCGGCCAATAACTCGCAGCGAAGGAAACGTGGGTGCGCGGTGAGAGGCTGCTCGTTCGATTTCAACGTTTGGAAAGTCAAAGATAGTTAACTCTTTTACTCCGTCTAGCACGACCGACACGCGACCTCAGACGAGTCGTGGCGCTCAAGTTTGAGACTCATGACCTTTGACGTGGAATCGGTGGAACGCCCAACACCCAATTCCTCAGCTCGAAGCTTCCTTCTTCTTTGTTTGTTTCTTTGATTATTTTATTATAAGTAGTCTGTGAGAACATGAGATGGTTCATATGCGTGTCTTTAAATTAATGGGAAAATCTCCGGAGAAGGACGTAAGTGTATAATTGGAAGTTGATTCTTTAGTCAAACCTGTCGATCAAATGCCCAATTTGTACTTGAAGCACACCCAAATTTTCTATTACGTAAAATCACTATAATCAAACCGGTTTTACTGAATTGGATGGGCTGATATGCAAGGAATTACTCTGCAATTCCACACTTATTATGAAAAATAAGAGGTTTAATCTAAAAAAAAATAAAAAAAAATTCCGAGGTTCTCTAAGAGTTAAATCGCTGGTGGATTTTTTGGAGGCACAGAATCTTCTTAATCACAATAAAGTTAATGGCGTACAGCACGCGATACGAATGACGTCAGCCGATCCTTCCTGCCTTAGCGGGCATCATTTCTAGAACCACATGCGGTTGTTCGTGAGTGCGAGCGCGCGCCACGGAGAGGAAGGCGACGAGGTGGCGGCGACGCCTCTAATAATTCAAACTCTTAACCTAACCCATTCAAATACTTCCGTCTCATGACAGCGACGCCATGATGCCCCACGTGACCCACCTCATCATCTCTATATAACGTCCCTCTCTCCAACGGAACAGAAGGACTTCAGACACCGCCTTCTTATCTGGTCTCTGCCTTCCCTCCCTCGCGTGTTCTTGTTGTCGTTCCGTTACCAACAGAAGAGAAGCTTAATCGAGAGAGAGAGAATGGAGGCGACGGAGGTGAACAAGATCGGGAGCATGAGAAGGAATAGTTCGATTTGGAGAAGGGGCAACGAGAGCATCTTCTCCGCGTCGTCACGGGAGGAGGACGACGAGGAGGCCCTCAAATGGGCGGCCCTGGAGAAGCTGCCTACCTTTGACCGCCTGCGACGTGGCATCTTGGCGCTCCCCGAGGGCAGTCAACGCCTGCAGGAGGTCGACGTCCAGCAGCTCGGTTTCCGGGAGAGGAAGGCCCTCCTCGAGCGCCTCGTCCGCGTCACCGACGAGGACAACGAGCGTTTCTTGCTCAAGCTCAAGGACCGGGTCGACCGGTGAGGACATGACCGCCTTCATCTCCAACTCCTCCTCCAATTCCCTTGCCGTGCCCTAACATCTTGTTTCTGCTTCGGGGTCTTCGTTTGGTTGTGTTCAATTGTAGAGTTGGGATCGATCTGCCCACCATTGAAGTGCGGTTCGAGCACCTCAACATCCAAGCAGAGGCCCATGTCGGCAGCAGAGGACTGCCTACCATTCTCAATTCCGCTCTTAACACGCTGGAGGTACAGTCCATCTTTACTTTCAAGATTTGAGTTGTCCAAGGGGCAAACTAAGATTATGCTTATATACTACAACGAAAAATGAAACAGAGCATCGCGAATTACTTGCATATACTACCGAGTAGGAAGAGGCCTTTGTCCATCCTTCATGATGTCAGTGGAATCATCAAACCTCGCAGGTAGGAGGCTCCCTTTTCCTCTTTGAACGACCCAATCTGGTTTTGAGTACTGCATCTGACCAGATACTAAAGCCTTCAACTTGATCACCAGGATGACTTTGCTCTTAGGCCCTCCTGGATCCGGCAAAACTACGCTGTTGTTGGCTTTGGCTGGAAAACTGAGCTCCGATCTCAAGGTAAAGGGAGACTCTTTGTTGTCCCTCATTTCCACTCACGATTCGTGGATCTGATTCGTGTATCTGGAAACAATCACAGGCCACCGGAAAAACGACCTACAACGGCCACGAAATGAACGAATTTGTGCCGCAGCGAACAGCGGCATATATCAGCCAGCATGACCTTCACATCGGGGAGATGACAGTCCGGGAAACGCTAGCTTTCTCAGCGAGGTGCCAAGGAGTTGGTACTCGTTATGGTAAGCATGATCATGAAAGGCTTGCTATATTTTGCTACTTTGCACAAGCTGTCAATTGATCCCAAATGAATTGGTTTTATGAATGCAACACAGAGATGTTGACTGAGCTAGCAAGGAGAGAAAAGGAAGCAAACATCAAGCCAGATCCTGACATAGATGTCTTCATGAAGGTGAAATCAATCTCTGTACTTGCTTTTCCTTTGTTCCCCTTTCCCCCCACATACTCGTCCTACTGATTCCAGCTAAAAGTTTGGTGCAAGATCAGAACAATTGTTTGTTACGATAATATTTAACTCTGTTTTCTTAATCTCTGACAGGCAGCATCCATGGGAGGACAAGAATCCAATCTGATCACGGATTATGTACTTAAGGTACTCTCCATCGGCATAATCATATGCATGAAGATGTTTGTAGATTGATCAAACCTAGTCTTTTGAGCAATCAGGACAATTCACTGGGAAGCAATAGACTGATCTCTTGTTTCTTCTTCAACCTGTCGCAGATCCTAGGACTGGAAGTCTGTTCTGACACCATGGTAGGGGATGAAATGTTGAGAGGTATCTCTGGTGGACAAAAGAAGCGTGTCACAACAGGTATATGATAACCGAGGATATTATCGATGACCACAAACTTTTTCATTTGATGCCTTGTGTATCATGTTTCTCGTGTCCTATTGCCTGACTCCGCTTGCTTCTGGTTCCACCTTTTCGCTTGATATAGGTGAAATGCTTGTTGGACCTGCAAGAGCCCTATTCATGGACGAGATATCAACTGGTCTGGACAGCTCAACAACTTTCCAGATAGTAAACTCACTCAGGCAGTCAGTTCACATTCTTGGTGGAACGGCTGTTATTTCCCTTCTGCAGCCTGCGCCAGAGACTTATGAACTTTTCGACGACATTATTCTTCTATCTGATGGCCAGGTTGTGTATCAAGGCCCTCGTGAAAATGTGCTCGAGTTCTTCGAGTCTATGGGCTTCAAGTGCCCAGAGAGGAAGGGTGTTGCGGACTTCCTGCAAGAAGTAGGTTATCCACAAAATGCTCCTACTATTTCCTGTTGTTAACTTTAATTCCTTTGGTATGATACTGAGTCTTGATTTGGGTTCAAAAGGTAACTTCGAGGAAGGATCAGCAACAGTACTGGACACGCCATGATGAACCTTATAGATATGTGCCCGTAAGAGAATTTGCCGACGCATTTCAGTCATTCCATGTTGGTCGGGTTATAGGAGATGAACTTTCTGTCCCATATGATAAGAGCAAGAGCCATCCTGCTGCTCTTACAACTTCTAGATATGGGGTCAGCAAGAAGGAACTATTGAAGGCTAACATTGACAGAGAACTGTTGCTGATGAAGAGGAACTCATTTGTCTACATCTTCAAGGCTACTCAAGTAAGTTAGCTCTACTTTGATAAATTGTTTTTATACCCTAAGCAGTGTTTTATGGATTGCAATTCTTTCTCTACAGCTTACCATCATGGCGCTCATTGCAATGACAGTCTTCCTACGTACTAATATGCACCGGGACTCTGTCACTGAGGGGGGCTTATACATGGGTGCCCTTTTCTTTGGAGTAGTCATGGTCATGTTTAACGGTTTCTCTGAAACTGCCATGACCATTTTAAAACTTCCTGTTTTCTTCAAGCAAAGAGATCTCCTTTTCTATCCTGCATGGTCATATGCAATACCATCATGGATTCTTAAAATTCCAATTTCATTCGCTGAAGTTGCAGTGTGGGTTTTCACAACTTATTATGTCATTGGGTTTGATCCAAATGTTGGAAGGTAAGAATGATTGAATTGACAATTCTTACAAAAATGAACTGTTTGATCCATGATGTAAAATCTCATACTCATTTCACAAACAGGCTGTTTAAGCAATACATGCTGCTGCTGCTGATAAATCAGATGGCATCTTCACTCTTCCGTTTCATTGGGGCAGTAGGTAGGAATATGATAGTTGCAAATACCTTTGGATCTTTCGCACTTCTCATCCTTCTTGTTCTGGGTGGCTTCATTCTTTCACGAGGTAAGTAATGATTCCTTGCTTTGCTTCACATTAGACTTGGAAACAAGCCTCTACATATCAACAGCTCATTTATTGTGACAATTATGGAATAAATGGAATGTCCTTCTCTGGCAGATCAAGTGAAGAAATGGTGGATTTGGGGATACTGGATCTCACCCCTGATGTACGCACAGAATGCCATATCAGTAAATGAATTTTTAGGTCACAGCTGGCAACATGTGAGGACATTACTTTTGCAGAGATGAAGAAAGTGCTATTTCTCAAGCAAAAAGTAGTTAACATTTTTTATGATTCTTCTGCTGCAGAGTCTTCCAAATTCAAGTGAGCCACTGGGAGTGTCAGTCTTGAAGTCACGAGGAGTCTTTCCCGAAGCAAAATGGTATTGGATTGGATTTGGGGCATTGATTGGTTATATATTTCTGTTCAATGCTCTTTTCTCTGTGGCTCTTACTTATCTCAAACGTGAGTATACTTTTCCATCATCTTAGCAAGAGACATCTAGTATTTTGTGACTTCAGTTTCTGAATTGAGAGCTAAGTTCTGATCATCTATGTTATAATTACAGCATTTGGTAAGTCCCAGCCACCTGTATCTGAAGAGTCGTTGAAGGAAAAACATGCCAATCTGACTGGAGAAGTGTCTGAGCAATCATCCAGAGGGAGGAACTCTGTTGATCATTCTCAATCCAAGAGTAAGGCCTATCAACATGTTAGTCTTATGCTGCATTTTCCTGGACAATCTCATCATGTTGAAGCTTTATCTGCAGAAGGTGCTGATGGATTGAGGAGGGATGGTACCTCATCAGGTTCCATGAATGTGGCTATTGATCAGAACAAAAAGGGAATGGTCCTTCCATTCACTCCACTATCCATTACCTTTGACAATATACGATACTCTGTGGACATGCCACAGGTAACTTTTCTGACATCACGTACCATATCTTTTATATGTTATAGGCACATCTGACTCCATGCGCTCCTTTTACAATATGATGGACATTTAGGAAATGAAAGATCAAGGTGTGGTTGAAGACCGTTTGGAACTCCTGAAGGGGATAAGTGGATCTTTCAGGCCAGGGGTGCTTACAGCTCTAATGGGTGTAAGTGGAGCTGGTAAAACAACACTGATGGACGTATTGGCTGGGAGAAAAACAGGTGGATACATAGAAGGAAACATTACAATATCTGGCTACCCCAAGAAGCAGGAGACTTTTGCTCGTGTATCAGGCTACTGTGAGCAGAATGATATCCACTCTCCTCACGTGACAGTCTATGAGTCTCTCGTCTATTCTGCATGGCTTCGGTTGCCTGCTGAGGTCAACTCTGCAACAAGGAAGGTCTGTTGGAAGGATACATTGACCGATTCATATATTCTTCAAGATTGGTCCTTGCAAAGTCTGATTAAATAACTATTTCTTGCAGATGTTCGTTGATGAGGTCATGGAGCTTGTAGAGCTGACACCACTGAGGGATGCACTCGTTGGATTGCCAGGAGTAAATGGGCTATCGACCGAGCAACGAAAGAGACTGACCATTGCTGTGGAGCTTGTTGCTAACCCATCTATCATATTCATGGATGAACCAACATCTGGACTTGACGCAAGGGCTGCGGCCATCGTTATGAGAACTGTGAGGAACACAGTGGACACCGGGAGGACTGTGGTGTGTACTATTCACCAGCCTAGCATTGACATTTTTGAAGCGTTTGATGAGGTGAGAAAAACTTTCGGGTTAATTATCTTGCAAACTTTTGGTATATTTCATGTGTAAATAATTTGTGGTTTTAAAATTTTCTTCTGTTTGCTTGTAGCTCTTCCTAATGAAGCGAGGTGGAGAAGAGATATATGTCGGTCCACTCGGTCACAATTCTTGCCATCTGATAAATTATTTTGAGGTGAGAATACAGAATGTTACTATTTATACAATTCAGTTGAACAGTACAACTGATCATTTCACCAACTGTGTTCTCCAGGGTATCAATGGTGTCAGTAAGATAAAAGATGGATATAACCCTGCAACATGGATGTTGGAAGTGAGTTCACAGGCACAAGAAGACATTCTGGGGGTGAACTTCAGTGAAATATACAAGAATTCTGAGCTTTATCAGTGAGTGTCCTACTTGTCCCTCTAATGTTCCTTCAAGTTCATTTTGCTTGCATGTCTGATATAAGTGCATTCTGCAATATAGGAGAAACAAGGATTTGATAAAGGAACTAAGTACACCTCCTCCCGGATCAAGTGACCTTTACTTCCCAACCCAGTATTCTCAATCTATCCTTGTACAATGCATGGCGTGCCTATGGAAACAGCACTTGTCATACTGGCGGAATCCTCCATACACTGCAGTGAGGTTTTTCTTCACATTGATCATCGCTTTGCTGTTTGGAACTATTTTCTGGGACCTTGGAACCAAAAGGTACATCCTTCTTGAAGTTCTACAAGTACAAAAATATCTTTCTTCATACCTGAACTTTGAAATATACTTGATCAAAGTGATTCGAAAAGAATTCTAATGGAACCTCAAACTGCAGGGACACAAAACAAGACTTGTTGAATGCAATGGGTTCAATGTATGCTGCTGTCTTATTCATTGGGGTACAAAACTCTTCATCTGTTCAGCCAGTTGTGGCAATTGAACGTACTGTCTTCTACAGGGAGAGAGCTGCTGGAATGTATTCAGCTGTGCCATACGCGTTCGGACAAGTAATTTTCTCAAATCTACCTAACTGCAAGAAAAAGAAAAAAAAAAAACTCATAGTTGTAGAAAATACATAATTCTCTTGAGCAAGCACATATACGCTTATATATTTTGTCTAATTACAATGTTCCATCGGCAGGTTGCAATTGAAATTCCCTATATATTGGTCCAGGCGTTGTTATATGGTGTGATTGTGTATGCAATGATCGGATTTGAATGGACTGCTGCTAAATTCTTCTGGTACATGTTCTTCATGTACTTCACACTCCTCTACTTCACATTTTACGGGATGATGGCAGTCGGTTTGACTCCCAACTACAACATCGCGTCAATTGTCTCTGCCGCCTTCTATGCCATATGGAACCTTTTCTCTGGGTTCATTATTCCAAGACCTGTAAGTTAAAAACTCCATTACTTGATCTTTGAAGAATTGCTTGCTTATTGCAAGACATCCTCTTATAATCAGCTTGGCTTGTCTACAGAGAATCCCGGTGTGGTGGAGATGGTATTACTGGATATGCCCCGTGGCCTGGACCTTGTATGGATTGGTTGCTTCGCAGTTTGGTGATATACAGACTCGATTTGCTTCCGATGAGTCCGGTGAGCCCGGTGAGATTGTGGCCGATTTTGTGAGGAACTATTTTGGATTCAAACATAGCTTCTTGGGGGTGGTTGCCGTGGTAGTGGTCGCATTCCCGGTGCTTTTCGCTTTCCTCTTCGCCTTTTCGATAAAGACACTCAACTTCCAAAAGAGATGAAGATGGATCGGGAGAGAGAACAAAAACCTGCTTTCTCAATCAAACCAAATTATTTGTCGGTGTGGTGTGTGATGATTCAGGAGGATAAAACTACAGCCGTACTCAAAACCTGCACATTTGCATCACAATTCGACTATTTGCCTTTTGTACTTCCGAGATATTCGTTCTTGTGTTATGAATTTTTCTTTTTTTCTTTCACGAAAAATGTAAAACATATTGAATTTATTATTTGTTTATGTAGTGAATATGGCTTACTAATGAAAAAAAGTCATGTGATGACTTTGTGAGTTGATTTACCATAAAGACTTCGGACCGTCCAAATGTGCAGCAGGCCATCATAGTTCGACAGCCCCGTCCATATAAAAGCAATTCTCCTGTCAGGAAAGCAAACAGCTTCAGCAATGCTACTTAAAGCCACTCTGTTTGCAGCTTAGAAGAGCCAATCTACTGAAATATCAAATTAAATTTTATTATTGGATTAGAGATTGATTTAAGAGTTTTAGCTAAATTAGACATCCAAGTTTTTAGTTAAAGTCAATGTTTTGATTTCGCGCCTTGATCGATAAATAGGGACTAATCAGGAGAGCAAAAACAGAGACTTGGAGATCCAGAGATTGAAAGATGGTAAATGATTGATGATGCATTGAAGGTTTTAGTTTGAGCGTCTCTGTCTTCCCCTCTGTCATTCTTCTCTATGATTAACATCATCTTCTCAAATAAATTTCTAACACAAGAGGCAAAGAGATTAACATTAACAATCAACTGATTTAGTTAAATATTTTCATTTAAACTAAATTTCTAAAAAAAAAATAACCATATGATTTATCTAAACCAAGTATTATATTACTTACATTTAAATTAAAAAAAAAACTAAGATTTATATGAATCTATGAATGAAGAATGATCGGAGCCACTGCACGACACTTTCGCTCGTAATAAAAAGTATTCGATTTGGTTAGGGAGGGGTACGAAGCTATCTCTCGTCATCCATCATTTGCCATTGTGCAAAACAAGGGGGATAATAGTTGTTTGCTCCATCTCTCACCTATCTTTGTTGCTGCTACCAACCTCCTATTGCATTAAGAAGCGATGAGATTATAGTTTGATCATCTATCTGTGGTGAAAGATCATACTTGATATTGATATGAAATATCCTATTAGTTAATTATCATCCGACATATAATCGTCATGTGATGTCTAGAAAACGAGGATAAGACGAAGGTCAACCCATGGATGAAGATCCAAAGCAAATAATCATAAGTTTCTATCTTGCCCATCGATGAAAAAAAGATAATCATAAATTTTCTTTTTGTCTTTTATGATCAGGCATGAATATTCATCTTTAACATTATAAAATGAAACAAACTTATTATATTTTTTAGGAGATATTTTTTTTAGAAGACTATGTGTTTGTACTTATACACATCGGATTACTAACTTGCGCGTTGTAGGGATCGACTCGAGAAACCTCTCTCGATCTTGATCTTCGTAAATGACACCTTAGAAGCTCGATGTTTCTATCTTGAAGACACCTTATATAACCCTATGCATACGGGTCCATATCATGTTAGGCTGATTAAAATGTCAACGACATTCTCTCTTAATATATATGATTTTTTTTTACAAAAAATATTATAAAAACTCTTAGAAGAAGTGAGGTGAATCCTACCGAGTTAGACAAAGCTGAGCTAGAAGAATTTACGATGATGCCTAAAAAAAAGCTTCAAATTAGGAAACCAATAAAAAAAAAAAAAGGTGTCAAGAATATGCTCGATAGAGTCCTTCGTTTAGTAGGTTGACTGTTTCCTCTTCCTCGTTGTCCTGTCTCTTTTAAGACCTTGGTTCTCCTTTGGTTTCAAAAGCAAATTTAGTTTGTAGAGCTTGCTCTAAGTCATTTCTTATCTTTTTTATAAGTTTTTGTTTATGTGCTTGAAAAGAACATATCAATTATTCTAATGTTCTAAATCTTTGGATTCTTAAATTCCTACCATATTAAAATTGGATCCAAAAATCTTAAAATTTCTTTATTACTCTCTGATCATCGATTTATTCATCATTTCTTCTCATGTCGTGAATAATAGAAATATGACTTTTGAAGTTATCTTGTTTATCTTATCTACACTATCAAATGCTTTTGCATAGTATCCCATGCCTCCTTGGATACTTTTGACAGAGTAATAATCTTGAACGTCATTTCATCACGGCCTTAATGTATTATGAACAAAGACTTCTTCTCTTTTTTCCTTTGATATTTGAATTGTTTCGTTGCTTCTTTATCAATTTATGCTTCTTTCCTTCCACACTTGGTATAATAAAACCATCTTCTACGAGCTCCTATACATATATAGCGCCTAGAAATGTCTTCATTTGTATACACCATAACGTAGTTCTCCTTTGTAAATTGAGGGATTTATGTTGGGAACACACTTGAGGAAGCCATGGGTTAACTTGGCTTTAATACCAATTGAATGAATAAAAAGAAAAACTAAGAACAAGATAATTTGGACAAGGGAAGAGGGGTTTCTCTATCAAAATGTATTCACTTGATACAACTCAATTGTTTTCACCACATAGTCTAAGACTCACAATACAGTGTCTCACATTTAATCACTTAGGAGTGAAATCCAAATTAGATTATTCCCATCTCTTGAACCAAATTCTGATTTGACTTGTTTACTATCATACCATGAACTTCTTGTGGATGTGAACAAGTTTAACACTCCAACATTACTAACAACACCTGCAAGGATTGGCTGAAAAATTCTTTGACTGAGAGAGAGAGAGAGAGAGAGAGAGAGAGAGAGAGAGAAACAAACACAACCTCCTCAAACATTTGTTCAAGTTACGGGAAGAAGATGATCTTAATTATCCTATCTTGGTGAATAGGATTCAGAATATGTACAAACAATGACTACAATGATACTGAGATTTCTGTCATCTCTGTTTCAGGAGTAATGAATCATGTCTTCCACTGAGGCGTCCGTTGAACAACAACCTGCAAAAGCCAGATTAAACGAATATAAGATGATGATGATCTTAAAACAAGTTGCCAAGCAGACACTTGTAGGATCTTAAAACAAGAGAATTCTTGGTGTATACAATGAAAAGTTCAGTAAATAGGATTCATCTATAATGTTGTATTCTCACCAAGACAAAATGTCTGCAATTTACATGCCATCATCATCTTAATTATCGCTAATGGCAATCTTATTTGATGGTTAACAGCTGAATCATGTTATAATATCAAGTGCATACACCATGCAATCAGTGTCTAGTATAAAGAAAATATTGGATGATATCCACTGACATGAAAATGCATCACTCGTATGATTACTGGAGAAACTCTAATACCAATTTTCTTCATGAAGAAAACAAGTTGTGGCGAGAAAGTTTCAGTGTCGCGCAATGTTTTTTGCAATATTATGGTTTGCACTTTCACTTATTGGTAATTATATTCACATTCTCCTTGTGGCTAACACTATTATATTCCCTTTTGATTGTTTGAATAGGTCCATGTACAGCCACAAAATGCTCTTACATTTCATATTACAAAAAAGTATGTTCACTTCAACACAAAATTATAATTTCCTACTCCACATGCCACTCTTGTTTATTGTCTCTTCTGCATCTCTACCTCTGCCCCAAACTATCTTCTTCCACATCTGGGAGGAGTCTGCCCTTCTCCCCTCCTTTTCCCTCTTTTTAAGCCCAACCATGTTCATAGTGAAGCACAACCTTACTGTCACTTGTTTCACAGTAAAGAGCTTTTGTGTTCAGTTATAAATTAATACAAGAAGATAATTATCCGCTACAGAAATCATTTCGTGCTTTTAGCCTATAATAGACGGATTTTCTATGATAAATAATAACAGAGATTTTAATTAACTAATAGTGACACAGTAACTCAAGGATGTTTTCATCAACCCATTGCTTAGGTCTGATTAACTAGGGGTTGATGGATGTAACGACAAGGGGCAAAATAAGATTACGTCGGGAAACATGGTGTGCATTGTATGATAATCAATAAGGGAAAACATAGGGAACATACTGAAATTTTCTATGAGAAACAAATGTGTTTATAGCTCATACAGCCATATCAAATGGAGCAAGAGGACGTATATACTTGAAAAAGGATACAGACATATCCAAGTTAAAGGACACTCTGAAAGCTAAGTAGAAAAAAATATCAAAGAAAAAGGAAAAAAATGGAACCTAATTGAAAATATAGAGGCACTAACCATTGATGTAAATGCAAATGCAAATGCAGGTAACATTGAAAGAACCAAAAAAATAGAGCTAAGTTTGTCAGGGCTGGTCATGACATAGGAAAAAGGGCAGAATGGATTGGAGACTCAGGCGGGCGTATGTAGTGCTAAAGAAAAATTAACTATTTAGTATTTGATCACATTCTAATAAAAATTGAAGATTTTAAATGGAAGGATTTGTGCAGCTCACCTTGCCCGAGTTCTCCTTATTCCCGACAATAGTTTGACAGGCAAGCCTCCAAGATTCAGGCTTCTGCTGTTGTTAGGAGAAAATATCAATCCATTGTTTTCCAACAAAAGAAAAAGGTAACAAAAACACCAAACAAAATTTTCATTGTGCCAAAAGTCTCATAAGGCACCACAGACTATTATCTCTGTAATTTTCTCGCACACATCGGTGGAAGAGATACAAGAAGACTTGCCTTCTTCAGATACCGTTGCTCAGTTTTTGTTCTCTCATTAAGCAGGTCTTTGCCATCAACAATCTGCAGCATTGTACCAAAGCAAAATAGTAATGATAAAGTGGAGATTAACATGCTCAAGTATTCCAACACTGATGGAAGGCAAAATAACAAGGGGAATGACATACAATGATTCTGTTACCTTTGGTTAAATGTAGCTTAACTATGGTTCTCCTTGACAAGCATGAAAATAATTGTTGGAATAGGATCGCCAGAGATAAACACCCAATGTGAATTCAAGGAACCAAAGAAGAAAAGGTTGCTTGATCATGTCAAGATGGACTAATTTCTTCTACTTGCTTTCTACAAGGCATTTCCTTAATGAATTTTGTTTTCTTTGAGTAAAAGTTCAACATTCACAGTTAGCTTTTGTGAACAGAGCATTGAAGAACTCAAAGGCATGGAGAGCCCTACAAAAGCCAATCCGAATTCACATCAAGCGACAGTTTGGGGGCAGATGTACCTCGACAATGCAAGTACCGCAGCTCCCACCTCCTCCGCAGTTCATCACCTTGCCCTAGTGGAGGCACAGGGGTAAAGGAATCATAGTTAGAAGCGTTTCAGGGGAGGATACATACCGGGGAAAAGGGGTAGAGGAAGATACGTACGTAGGCGGCGTAGAGCTCAATCTTGTTGTCGAGCATAATGTTGCGGAGAAGCTTCTCGCCGCTGACCGCGGACGCCTTGTCCACCGGGTACGCCCCGTCGGCTCCAGCTTTCGGCTGCAGCGCACCAGCAAACAGGAGGAATAGCATGCAAGAATTCGAAGGACGAAACAGCACGAGCGGTAGAAAGAGAGGGGAGGGGTGTTACGCCAAGGAACTCGAGCTCGATCTGGGGCTTCGGTGGCTCTTCCGAAGTCGTAGGCGTGGGGTTCGAGGAGGAGGGAGCGGCGGCGTGGGGGATGGAGATGGAGAAGGATGGTTTTCTTCGCGAAGGAGGAGGGTGGACGGAGGAGAAGCGACATGGTTGTTGGGAAGGGGCGGGTCGGGGGAATAGAGAGAGGAGAGAGGCCGCGGCAGTCATTTCTTGCCTTCTTCCTTTGTTGCTTCGTCGTCAAAAAATGTAGGCTAGGATATAAGAAGATGGGCGGCGGCGGCACCACCACAGGCCGGCGACGATGCTGCTGGAATTTGGACGCTTCACGCAGTCGCTTGCGTCATGCTCGTCTCGTTCGGCCGTGGGTGGCGAGGGTTCGCTGGTTCTTCGCAGCAGCAGCAGCAACAGAGGATCACCAGCTGTGGCGGAGGAGTGGCACACGTTCCTCAGCAAACACTTGTGGCAGCCGTGTGGCGTGTGGCAGAAACGAGAGCCGCGCGTCCGTCACACCCATCCATGGTCGCCGTGTAGAAAAGAAAATACAAATGTGAATGGAGAGTTCCATGAATATTTCAAATATAAATTGATGTTTAATATTTATATTATATTATAAATATTGATGTTATCTTAGAGATATATATTAGTATTTGTGAGATGTTAATATAATTTTTAAAATTTTCAAAATATCTTATAAATTTATTTTAAATAATAAAATTATCATTATATAATAAAAAAAAATTAATCCTCATGTTTTTCAACTATTCTATCAGCATAATTAATTTGCAAGATCAAATGACACTATTTTATGACTTGATTAATTTGTATGATCAAATAATCACCAATTTTATGAGAAATTTATGACATGATTTAGTGAGAAATCATTTATGCCTTCAAAATCAATATTTTTATTTTATAGATTTATTTAGATAATTATATTTTTATTTATTATATATCATACGAAATCTTTTTTAAGATTACATTTATCTTTTTTTACTTATTAATTTAAATAATATATATATATATATATAATATTAAAAAAATAGCTACTCCCTTTTAAAATATAATTTTATTAAATAATATTTATCTCAATGTATATTTAAAATATAAATATATTTTCAAATGTAATCAAAGTTATTTTTTTTAACCACATGCCGAGTTATATTGATTGAGAGTATATATATATATATATATATATATATA